CTGTTTCAAAGGCTAAGGAGGAAAAATAATCTGAGCCGGTGCATGCTGTTAGTTTGAGAACATCATGAATGCATTTTCTCCCCCCCTTTGCTTTTTATATCCTTTCTCTCCGATGCTCTTCCTGGTGCAGTATGGGGAACTTCTGGAAAGCAAGTTGTTTTTTTTATGAACTAGAAGGGCAAGCCAGCCTGTCTCAGCAATGCCACAGACACCAGCTGTTGCAGTCTTCAGGCCCAGCCCTGCAAAATGCTGGGCGCCCTTTGGTCCCACCTGACACCAACATCAGTCTGGATGAGGTTTCTTCTTAACTCAGGCCTTTGCTTCTCTTGACATGAGGACCAGCATGCAAACTCCACCAAGGGGAGAAATGCAGCTTGCAGTCCTCATACTTACTGCTTTGCCAAGATATAGTGTGGCTCTCCTAGAAAGGGAAGATAGATCTGAACAAACTAAATACAACCAAAGGCGTCTTGGTACTAACTAGCAAGATGCTATAAGGTGGGGAACAAGGCAGGCAAGAGTAAAAGGACACCTGGAGTCTCAGAGGAACAGGGTTGGGTAAATAGAGAAGCTCAGAGAAAGAAATGAAGAGACTGGAAAAGGGGAAGAGACAAAAAGAATTGAGAGCAGCAAAGCAGAAAGGGCCTGAAATAAGCTGTTCCAAGCATCTGGTGGTACATCCACATCTGTCTGTTTTGTCAACCTGATTAGGTACTATGCACTAGTTATCAGATGCCCTTCCTCTGGAAACTCCTAGTTTAGGAAGAGGCTTGACAGCAGTGAGCTGTGAACTTAAATTGAATCCAAAATCTGATGGAGATCTTTAGAACTGGAACATCTGAAAGGCTTAAAAAAATCCTCTCTGTCCAAGGAGAGTCTGAGCTAAATATAGACCTTTCAGACCCCATGGTATAAGCAGCACTTTGCAAAGGATGCACCCCTCAGTGTCTGGCAAGAGCTCACTCATGCATGCAGCTTAGGACATTGGAACTGGGTTTTATCAAGAGAAAAATTAGGGCAGGGAAATCATTAGAGAGCATCAGGACAAGTTTAGCTTGTGCTTAGCCATCTCACCAGCACCTGTCTCCAAAGGACCCTGGCTACCATCTCATCTGAAGGGGTCAGCATGAAGTAGGAACCCAAATACCCAGGCAACACACCAGCTTCTAGATCCATAGTAGTAGCAGCTACACCATGCGAGCTCTACAGTGTAGGTGTTTTGCAATAACAACAAAAATATCACGGGGAATGATGTGCCCAAAGGAAGAGTCAGGACGTGAAAATGTGTGTGATGTGTGGCTGGGGACAGAAGTTACACATAAACTGGTTTAAGTGATCAAGAACTGGTTTAAACGTGTAACAGAACAAAAGTTCAGTGCACTTAAGCCACTTTTAAAATGGCTGAGACTGGTTTAAGATAAACCTGGATGGAAGCAGTATCAGACTTAGCTGATTCAGATCAAACCGGTTTATGGAGCTGCTGTCCCAGATCCCCTCCCCATTCAACTTCACCCACAGTCCTCCAGCATCCCAAGATGGCCTGGGCTGTGCTCTCGGCTGCAGCAGAGCAGGGGTGCCCCCACCCCAGCTGCCACTGGGGGCTTTTCCATCCCCAGGAGCCAGGCAGATTCCCCTGGGCCTGCCTCCTCCTGGGCTAGGGGAATTGACCTGCCTCCCATCTGAGGTGTCGGGTAGTAAAGACCCCTGCTGTGGGCTCCCCCCCACCTTGCACCGGGCACAGCCCAGCTGGGGGTCCGGAGTTCGGTGGGGCAGGGGGGTACCGTTTTCTCCCCCACTCCCTCCTCAGCTGGTCGGCTGGGGAACGGGCACGGCCAGGTGATCAGCCCAGCTCCCACCTGTGGGAAAGCCTGCAGTGGGGCTTTACTCCCAACCCGAGCCAGGAGCTGGGGTGATCCCCTGGCTGTGGCCCCTCCGTGGAAGGTGGGCTGGCTGAAGAGGGACCACTGAGGGCTTTTCCTCCCCCTGCATCGGGCACAACCCAGCAAGGGATCCGGAGCCAGGTGGGAGTGGGCTCTGGGTGCAGGGGGCGGGGAGGGGGGAAAAGAGGGAAAAACACCCTGCTGGGACTTCCCTTCTTCCCTGGCACCAGGGAGACCCCAGCTGCGGGTCTGGTGGTGGGGGGTCCCCCCCACTCCCTCTCCCCAGCTGACTGGAGGCTAAAGAAGGGGCATGTTTGGAGAAGCTCCCATCTCCCAGCTCTCTGCAGCAGCCAGCAGGCTGCGAGACATGCTCTAGTCCCCCGTGGCTCCTGGTAGAGGCCACTGAAGGAGTCTGGCTGCCTTTCGGGTTTGAAAAGTGAACGTTAGTTAGTTCACTTCCTTATCAGTTCAAAATAGGCAGTTTACAGAAACCTGCAAAGATTGAATCGATTCAGCCTCGGGCTTTTTGACTGGCTGTGTGTGCATGTGTGGGTATGTGTGCATGTGGTGCACCACCTGCAAGTGGGCTACTATCGTTCAGGATTAGGAAGAATTACCAGCAATCATACGCAACAGCCGAGAGGCGCCAGAGAAGCAGAAGAACAGAAGAGACATTTTCATACGACAGTTCTCAGCTTCCTGAGCTATGTGCTCAACACATGGCAGTTTTCCTAGTGATGGGTGGCAGGAGAGTAAAAAGCCCTGTATCCTCAGCAAGAAATGAAGGGCTCTGTCCTCCAACTAGAAGCAGTGCAGCTTCCAAATGAGCAGGATTATTTCTAGGGCAGGAGAGAGGGTCAGGAAAGGGAAGGCAGCTGGAGAGGAGTCAGTACTTCCCTCCACCAGCACCACCATCCCATTGGAGAGTTGGCTTTGTTTAATCCCTTCTTCCCCAAGCTTAAAGCAATGGCACGGACTATCCAAATCTTCCCTCCAGCAATAACCTCTCATTTTGCTAGAGGTCACTTTTGGGTCCATTTCAGTTATGGCCGGAGAAACAACTGCAGCTGGCATCACCCGCAGGAGGGATTAGACTATTTGCACATGATCCGTTTCCCCACTGCCCTCCTCATCCCCCGTGCCCCAACTCTGCTTTTCCAAGGTCTCCTGTCCCTGGCTCTGCCTGCAATAACTACCAGCTCCATCTGCACAATCTCTTGCTGTCTTTATCTCTACGTTCTGCATCTCTCTGCAGGTATCTGGGCAAATTACGCTCCTGCTCTACTGTATCTATCCTAGTTCATTAGCCGTACACAGGGTATATATATTCAGTCAATCTCCATGTGTTCTGATCGCTGCCATGTGCAGAATGCAAGCAGAGTCCTGCACTCAGAGCCAGTTGGTTATAACTGTCAGAGAACAAATTCCCATCCCTGAGCTATTCACTTCAATTCGTGTCTCTCTCAAGCTGTACTGAGCCAAACTTGAACTATGCTTTCCAGTCCCAGTGAAAGGTGCTGAGGTCTCGGGAAGGTAGAGGAAATACCGAAATGGAATCGAGACAGTGAAATGCATGTTGCTTGCAGTGTGCGATAAGAGAATCTAATCGAAGAGCTGTATCTTGGAATGAACAAATGGAGAGGCTCAGTTTATCTTCTCCTGTAGCTCCGCACCTGCTTTCCCTGACGTGATCAGGCACCAAAATAAACTAGCAGTTCACAAAATTGAAGAGTAAAAGCATCGAAGCCTTCCTGGCTTTAGCCAGACCTACACTACTCGTTTTTGCCAAGCTCGCGTGGTCAGTTAGGTGGTGACATTTTAAAAACAACCTATGCATGTCCTCTGCCCTGAATGTGTTTTTTTGCCACAACTGCTTATTTCACTTACTAACGTGGCATGGGCAAAGCCAGCTCTCTTATACCGCTATAAGCTGTACCTGCACTAAGAGAGAGTGAACCAGGCGAGTCAAGGAGCCTGTTAAAGCCTGCAAGTCTACTGACTGAAAACAAAGAAATGTTCAGTCAGTTTTGAGTACAAAAGATGTTTTGTAAGTTTTCAATTAAACTGGGGATCGCCAAGATCGGCAAAGCTTGGGTCTGAGATATCAAGACTGGGTGAGAAGCGGGAAGGTCTGACTGGCAGGTTGGTTTTTTTTTTCTTCCAACCTGGAATTTATTTGAAATTCCTGTACCAAAAAAAGGGTTGAGCTATGGGTGCAAGCGAAGAATATATGGTTTTATAAGGTCTGGATCCTTCCAACCTCTAACATGGGAGGAACACAGACCAAGATATGGACGCAAACCTCACATCATGGTCATCTCTCCAGTGTGGCATGGCTTGGGACATGGCATCTAAAAGTAACTGAGCTTTGGAGGAATTCAGGTTATCATTAAGACCTCAAACTTCCCAAGAAACTGCCTTCAGAGAAAAGCTGCTAAGTCACATGCAGACAGTGGCAATGCATAAGGGATGCACAGGCTGCGCTCCCTGCTTAGGCGATGGGCAGGGGGGCCAGTGTCCCCCCTTGTGAACGCCAGCCAGGGAGTGGGAGTGCTGTGGCCACTTCCAGAGGCCAGTGAGTGAGATCGGCCATGGGGGGACGCCCCTGAGTAAAGTGGCACCAGTTGCCCATGCACACAGCTCTAGCTATAAAAATCCAGGAGACCAGGACTGAGACAACAGAAGCGTCTCTTTGCCCATAAATACAGTCTGCTTTCACAATGTGTACAAGGGAGCAAGTGCATTGTTATGCTTTGCTTTTGATTATTGTTTTGAAGGCTTTTCTTGGCCTATTTACTGGCCTAATTTGGTGAGACTTTCCCCAAGCACTGAACTGGCAATTGGAGGAAGCAGCCTTACAGAAACAGCAATGGATTTGTCTAGGGAGACACTAGAAGTAAAGCTGACGGAGGGGAAACGAGAGACGAGACATCCTTTTGGCAGGGTCCGAGCAGCTGCCTCAGAGGTGAGAGCAAGAGCAAAAACGTGTGGGACGCGGTGGTCCTTGAGGGAGCCTTCAACAAGTGGCAGCACCTGCGGCTGCAGCAGGGGCAGGGGCAGGAAGGCAGAGAGTGAAAGAGGATTGTCGCATTCTCAGCTGTCTCTTGCTCTAACCCATCTGCTAAAGCGGGAGACTGAGCCTGGGCTCGGTCCGATGGCCTTGAGGCCCTAAAGCTGTGATCTTACAAGGCAACTAAATGTCTTCAGAAAAGCACCAAATGCCCTGGCCTTGCATCACTGCGAGGACCACAGAGGCTCTCAGCATCTTGCAGGGCCTTTGAATCTAGCACACCATGGAAGGGATGAAATTTTGTTGCCAGGGAGGAGGAGTGAGGAAGTTGTTCTTTTTGGAGTTATATCAGCATGGGGACCTGGCAAGTAAACCTCATCTGGAAAGCCCCACTCCATCCCCTCCAAAATATACCTCATTTAAGTCCAAAATACAACCCATTTGAGCTTCCACCACCCTTAATACTAGAACAACTTCCTTCTGAGCCATTTACAATGATCCCAGTGGGAGTAGCACTTGATGCCAGGGTGCCATGAGCCAGGAAGGAGAGCATGTTGGGGATTAGATGTTTTCATAGGTTCACAGATGCTAGGGTTGGAAGGGACCTCAACAGATCATCGAGTCCGACCCCCTACCTAGGCAGGAAAGAGCGCTGGGGTCAGATGACCCCAACCAGATGCCTGTCCAGCCTTCTCTTAAAGACCACCGAGGCAGGGGAGAGCACCACCCCCCATGAAAGCCCATTCCAAATTTTGCTGAGGGGGTCACTTACCAGCCAGTAGATGTGTGGGATATTTTTGCACCACAGGTGCAGCACTCAGCACTTGCCCTTGTTGTACTACATCCTATTGTGTACTGCCCACTTTTCTAACCTGTCCAGGTCTGCCTGCAATCGTTCCCTACACTCCGGAGTGTGCACTTCACCCCACAATGTAGTATCATCTGCAAACTTGGGCAGAGTACACTTCACACCCACATCCAAGTCACTGATGAAGATATGGAAGAGTACAGGTCCAAGGACTGAACCCTGCCACCCTCTGGGGTGTAGTTAAACAGCAGGGCTCTTTGAAAGAGCAAGGGTAGGGGGAAGTTGCAACCTCCAGGGAAAAGGACAGGATGTAGCATCTATCTCAGGTCGACTCGGACATTTTAAGTGAGTTGGTCATGTCAGGCTGCATGGAGCAGGGAATACCTGAAGGGCTTAGGAAAACCTCTCATCCATAGGTCACCCGGTCAAATCCAGCCCAGTTCTGCAACCACTAAAACACTGGTGTGATCAGATGTCTGAGCAATGGCTTAGCCTGAAGAAAGTGAAGCTACCAGTGGAAAAAGCACACACCACTGGCATAACCGGTCCCCTTGCTGTTAGCCTCTACTCAGAGGTCTGCAGTTGACTTCCCTTATTTATAAATGTTGTCTTTCCTGGTCAGATCAGAAGGTGTAGATGTGAAGACTACTACACACTGCTTTAAGGGGGGAATTTATTGCTCATGAGTGGGCATTACCTGGTCTGCTGTAACTGTTTCATCTGCCTGGTCCTATCCTCCAGAGAATGAAGCTAAGCCCCAAGAATTCAATTTACCTCTCAAAGAGTGAGGGGATATAATTATTGCAGTTTGCCTTCCCCTTGCCATGAGATAAAGCAGACAGACAAACACTATTTCAGCAGATTCAGATAAACTGGGGCCCATTTCTTCCTGCTTTGTCAAGGCTGTGGGATTATTTCATCTGTCCACCGCCTGAATGACAGTGGCAGGTCTACAGGGAACGCTGCCTTGCTACCGCTGATGCTGTGGCATGAACAGAGTGGAGTTTGGCTTCCAGGGCTATCAATCTGCCATCTTCCACTAGTGCTCTAGATGCATTCAAACAGGCTTTCATGAACATGCTAGTTATTTATTTTATGGAAGCTAAAGCTGCCTTTGCACCAGGCATTGGCAGTGCCATGCTGGGCTCTCTATGCAAAACCCTAGGTCTCTCAAGCCACTGGTCTATATGCTATTCCTTGACAGCCCTGGATCCAGGAGCCAACTGGCAGTGTGAGCTGCATTTGCAGGGGAAACAGAGTGACACTGCCAGCTTTTAGTGACAAAAGGAGTGTTTATAACAGGCGCGGTGACAGCTGTCCGAATGCCACATTTATTTACAAAACGTTAGTTAAATTACTGACAGTTGGTGCTGCAAAGGGAAAGCTGAGAGGAAGAGCTGACATCTCCCCATCTCACTAATTCAGCCGCAGCACCAGCTTCTGCCCCATGAGTGCTTTATTTTATTCTCCTTTTCCACTGACTTCTGTGCCTCACGTGTTGAGATGACTCCAACTTCAGGCACTGAGCAACACAACCACTTCAAAGACGTGACCCAACACGCACTCTCTAAACTTCATAACGGAGCCATTGTGGTGCTTTGTTACCAGCAAAAGACTTTGTTGCACCTTTCTCTTGCCTGCACCTGCTAGAGGCAATCAACCCAGCTCCATCTGACTTCACAGATCAAATATGAGGTGGATGTCTTGACTCACACATCGCGAAACAAAGTTAAAGTGCTGGTGATTGACAAGTCTGGAGACTTGATAGTACAGCATGTTTAGAGACTGGGTAGCAGCTCCTTCGCCCTCACTGCCCTGCCCTTGCATGGGAGGGCTACATCTGGGAAGAGCAAGGGGACTGTTCCTTCTTGGTGCCTACAACCAGCCACCCTGGGGGCACGATCCTTGTCAGTCCCTGGTGGTCATACAGTACCTCACCTACTTGAGCTCCCGGGATACTCTTGCTTTTCTCTCGCTTGCCACACCTTGATGTCATCAACTAACGTATGAAAAAGGAGGCTGCCCCCCAAGCCCCAGGTTTTGCCTTTCCCCTTCTTTCAGAGACTTCTCTCCTCTTGAACCCCGCAGTTCCTGCTCGCACCTCAAGAGCTAAGCAAACCATCTGGGCCCATCCAGACCTTAAGGTCTTTGTTGCCTCAAAGGCCAAATTTGTGGCCTCCTTCTGCCCCTTTAGCCATCCCTGTGCCTTGCAGATGTTGCCCCATTGTCACCTCATTAGGCCACTTCAAGACCAGCACACCCTTGCTGGGGTGTCCACGTACCAGCTTTGGCCCGTCTTATCTATCTGGGTGCCTCCCAGGCTAGGTCCTCTATGGTGAACCTGGTTTCCATGCCCCAGACCTGATCTCAACCCCCAGACCTCTAGGCCCATCAGCACCTTGAGCCCAACCCCTGGCAGGGCTCAAAGCAACCATGTGCCCCTCAGGCACCAATGGGAAGTCCACATCTCCCCTTTTTTAAGTCCCACCCAGTCCACCAGTTTAAACCACAAATTGCAATATAAGCCTTCTGGCTGTAACAAAACTCTGTGCTCACCGGCTACACTGAACTCTCTTTATCCTGCATCCTGGCTCCCTGCAAGACTTCTCCTCCTTGCCAGTAGTCCCACACGACAGCAATACCCCTGGCCTTAGGGCTGCAGAGCTCTTCATCCTTCAGTCTCCTGGGCCCAACTGCGCTCTTGGCTCAGACTCTGGGCTTTTATATGCCTTGCTAGCCTGACCTCTTCCAGTCATTTGACCTATTAGCGGACCTGGCCACAGGGCTGTTTATTAACCCCAGCCTTGCTGGCTGCCTTTGCCTGGTTCACAAAAACTCTTCCCTTAAAGGGCCTATTCCATCTCCCCATAACAGAGCAAGCATTCCCTGTTACAGGGACCTTTCCAGCCTTGGCCATCTTGCATGACAGGCCCACTACTGATGTGGAAAACAGGTTCGGGTCACCAAGTCTGTAAATGAGTCGACAGCCATACATGACTGGGAAGCTGGTTCCAGACTTGAAACCAATGGCCAGGGCTGAAAGGCTCCTTGTCTCGCTGAACAGCCCTAGGGCATCTGCATTCTCCCAGCCCGAGTCATTTTAGAAACTGCAAACATGTTCTCTTTGAGCCAAGGAAAGCACAGACCTCGAATGCCTCTGCGGTGCCTCTGGCAAGGCTGTTCGAGGAATCATGGAACTCAGGAGTTGTCCCTAATGACTGGAAGGAGGCGAACGTGGTGCCCATCTTTAAGAAGGGAAAGAGGAATGACACTGCCAACTATAGTCCAGTCAGTCTGACTTCAGTCCTGGGGAAGATCTTTGAAAAAGATTGTCAAGGAGGACATTATTACCCACAAGTTTGCATCTGGCGGGGTACTGAGAAGCAACCAGCATGGCTTTGTTGAGGGGAGGCCTAACAAATCTGGTGTCCTTTTATGACCAAGTAACTAACCACCTGGACATGGGACAGAAGGTGGACGTCATCTACCTAGATTTCAGCAAGGCCTTTGATACTGTTTCCCATGAAATCCTCTCAGTCAAGTTAAAGAGTACTGACCTAGAACAGGCTACAGTGAGGTTGGGTTGGGAACTGGCTCAGCAGCTGATCCCAAAGAGTCTTGATTGATGGGTGGCTTCATCTTGGAGGGTAATTTCTAGTGGTGTACCCCAGGGATCAGTGCTTGGGCCCGTGCTTTTTAATATCTGTATTAATGACTTGGATGAGGGAGTGAAAAGTGCCATGATTAAGTTGGCAGACAATACCAAACTGCGGGGACAAGCGGGCATATCAGAGCACAGGTCAAGGATTCAGGACAACCTTGACAGGCTGGTCCTATGGGCTGAACAAAACCAGATGAGGTGCAATGGGGATAAATGCCAGGTCCTTCATCTGGGTGGGAAGAACCCTCACCATATCTGTATGATGGGTGGTGGTCCATTGGCTGGCACTGCATCCGAAAGGGACCTAGGGGTGACAATCGACCAGAAGATGAATATGAGCCACCAGTGTGAGTCACCAACAGAGTACATAGGATTCTGGCATGCATCAGCAGATGCGTCACCAACAGATCCAGAGAGGTGCTCCTTCCCTTCTATTCAATGTTGGTGAGGCCACAGCTGGAGTACTGCATCCAGCTGTGGTCACCACACGTCAAGTAGGATGTGGACAAGCTCAAAAAAGGCACATGATCAAGGGCCTGGGGACAGGCCCTATAAGGAGAGATTTTGGGATCTAGGACAGTTCAGCCTGAGCAAAAGAAGGCTGAGAGGTGACTTGATAGCTGCCTACATATATGTCAAGGGAGAACACCAGGGAGAATTCGTGTTCACCAGGACCTAGGTGGACAACTTTTCAGATTAGCCCCCGGCCTGGGAAGACACGAACCAATGGACACAAGCTAGCCAAGGAAAAGTTGCAGCTGGACGTAAGAAAAAACTTCTTTTCTGTATGGGTAACTAGAACCTGGAACACACTTCCAGCAGAGGCAGTGCAATTGCCATCTCTGGTGGTCTTTAAGAGGAGGCTGGACAAATACCTCACTGAGCTCATTTGAGCCCAATTACATCCTGCCCATGGCAGGGGACCAGACTTAATGATCTTATAGGTCCCTTCCAGTCCTTCTTTCTAAGATTCTATGAATAGTCACAAGCAACAAAAGCAACTAGGGAGAAGGTTGGGGTGGTGGGGGGCAAACAAACTCCTGGAGTTATAGGAAACAGGAGACCCAAATTCTCCAGTAACTCAAGAAGATGGGCAAGCCTACAAGTCTGGAGCAAACACAAAGACTGAACTCTCTAAAATCATCTCAGAGGGTAGATCAGATCATTCTGGATATTCAGCAAGACCAGAGCAAACTCAAAGGAAGAGCCATCCCTCAGGGTTCACACACCCTGTGCTCCATGCCACAACACCGAAGCAGCTAGAGATGGAAAACATTTTGCTGAACCTTCTTTAACCTCACAAGATGCACCTGTGAGTCAAAGGCAGCTGATGCCCACTGGCACTGCTATTTTGTTCCTAAGAGTCGCATCATCTGCTTGCAGGGATGCAAAATGCTTCTTCTTAAACAGGGTGTTTCCTGTCACATTCTCTATTGGTTGACATGATGTATAATGTTGCAGCATCCTTTCAAAGCATCTGAGGAAGTGAACTTGAGTTCACAAAAGCTTGTGCACTCTCTATCTCTTGTTCAGCTCAAGAGAGAGTGTGCACGCACATGTGTGTGCATGTAGACATCAATACATTATATATATTTACGTATTTTTTTTATATATATATATATATATATATATAAAATAAAATTTAGTTAGTCTATAAGGTGCATATCTACCCTCCCTTCTAACTTTAGTGAAGTCAAGGGGGTTGAGCCTGGAATCTGGACTTGGAAATTTGGCTTGAATTAGGCCCAATTCAAAGCAAAACTACTAGTGGAGGAAGAGGAAGATGACAATGGGGGGGGGTATGATCTATAGACCATGAATCTGGAGCTTAAGGCAAGCTGCAGCTGAGCAGAAACTAGCTTTTCATGTTGAGGAAACCCAAAAAAAAAAAAAAAACCCAGACAAAACAGCCAACCCTCAGAGATAAGGAAACACATGCAGGAGCATATGACACACAATGAGGAAGTGGCAAACAAGCAATGTGGGGGGTTTCAAATGAAATTAAGCAAAGCAGGTGCCCAACTCCCATTAAAGCTGAGCGCATAATTCTCTGAAGCTCATTTGAACCCCAAGGGGTGGTTTCCCTCATGCCACACTTCCTCTAAACCCAACAGGGGCTGTGTACAATTTAGAAGGTGAAACACTCAGACACAACTAAAAACACTATTTATTAGACACTGGCCCCAAAACCAGCATAGGGTGAATTACAAAGGGGCCAGAATCGGAGCCCAGATGAGGTAAGCCCCAGGCTCAGTGATAAATCCCAACCCCTTTTGAATTTTTCGAGGGATTCAAAATCTGGATCAGGCCTCTGGGGCTCGTCCATCTAACAGCTTAGACAATTTTAGACCATCCTCGTTTTGAGAATTAGGTTTCCCTGACTGCTCTCAACATCGCTTCTTAAAAGCTCCAAAAACGAGGCTGAAAAGACTCTGCTGGATGGAGCAAGCAAAGCTGGGAAATAAAGATCCCGCCTCAGAAACCAGACACGAAAGCCCAAACTAATGACTGCTTGGCTCCTGTCCGGGGCTCTGCAAGTGTCTGCGAGACCAGACGCAGGTGTCAGAGGCATTTATGGCTGCAGGCGCAGAGTTGGTCAAAATCTCCCATTTCCTGAAAAAAGCTGCTATTTCACCAGCTGCTCTGGTTGGAAGGCGGTTTGATTCTTTAGCTACTCTGTCCTCATTGACATGCAGAGCTGGACTCCCTTGTCTCCAATTCAGCCCCCGGGGCTCATTCTTGTTCTGTTCCCCCACAAACAAGTCACCACTCTTAGACGAGTCTCTGCCCTTCATCACCTCTGTCCCCATCTGACCACAGCTTTTTTTTCCTCCCATGGAAGAATCAGCTGCAAAGTCAAGTTCTGCGTTCAGACCTTCCATGTCAATCCATCTGCTCCTCTGTCTCTTTTCTCTGCGTATAAGCAAACAACTGCTCTCCCATAGGTCTGCCGCTTGTTAAGGACAGACACCACTCATCACAGACTGAAGGATCCTCCTTGTAAGCCAAGGTTTTTAATGTACTCGTGGTTTGGACACGTTCAGCATTTCAACGGTGGCTGCAGCAGCTGGAGGACTAAGACCAAATCTCAGCCATGAGGGCATACTGGGCCCAAACATCTACACCTTGCTCCTGCTAACGTGAAACCCAAACCCAGTCCGGATGGCAGTGCTTCACGTCCACTATACACAGTGGGATGCAGCCACCCAGGATGAAGACTGGTTCTTTGCCCTACAAGGACTTTCTCTGGGGCTATTTCACATGCAGCCTATTTAACAGTTGAATCTAAGCCATCCTTTTAAACTGATGTTAGGTCCAACAAGAGAAAGGTTCCCATTGGTATGAATCAGCTAGGCATGCACACAGGAAGCTCTGGTCCTGACTTGAGATTTTTTGCCTTTCTTTGTTAAAACTGCACTCTTTCCAAATCTGGCTTTTTACTGCGGTGCCAAGTATCTCCTCGCCAAGACACGCTGACAGACAGGCAACTCCAAACCAAACTGACAGAAATGAGAGCTGCCGGACAACACGCTTGGCTCACATGGCCAAAGACACAGTCAGCCGCTGGGAACTGCAGGCAGCCGTTCTACCAGGGAGGCTATAAAGGGAAACCTTCCCCCCAGCAGAGCAATCAGGACCTTGTCTCATCTCAGATGGAAATTGCACTTGCAAAATCCATGCACATGACAATTTTTTCTTCACTTTAAACTGATTCCATCACAGCCACCTCTCTGCCATCGCTAAGATTTGCTGACATGTCACTTTAGCAATACACTCTTCTTACAAATACATGCCACTGCAGGGAAGCAATCAACTTGGAGGCAACAGCTTCTCTCAACAATGCACACTGGTAATACTCTAGATGGCTTCTACATGCCTTTGGCTGGGGATCTCAAAGCAGACTGCAAGCTGCATATTAAGGAGGTGCCTGGCATGTACAGGTGGGGAAAACAGGTGGAGGTGAAGTGATCTGTTGCACAAGAGAAAGCCTGGAGCAGAACCCAGGAGTCCTGATGCTTGTATCACTTACAGCAGGGGTGGGCAATTATTTCGGGCGGAGGGCCGCTTACTGAGTTTTGGCAAGCCATTGAGGGCTGCTTGACAAGCAGCCAGGGGCAGATTAATATTATATTTCTAAATTTTTTAGGGGCCCCGCGGGCTGGATAGAATGGCCTGGTGGGCTGCATCTGGCCCGTGGGCCACATTTTGCCCACCCCTGACTTACAGTGATTTCCTGAGCAAGGGCAGGGCTGGAAGGTGGAGATATGGGAGGGAATATGCTCTCCACCTCATACGAATGGCCACCTTTAGGCACAGGACTCACCTCTACACTGGAATCAATTTAACTGGTTTGCCAGCTCCCTCCCTGCAAGGAGAGATCATGTCTGTAAGTAAAGCGTGGAAGTTTCTATGACCTGAGCTGAGACATAGTTGGAGAAAGGGCCTGAGCAGAGCAAGCTAGATACTAACAGAGCCTGTAGCATAAACTCACAAGGATTATAAATGAGTCTGTGCACTAACTCCATCCTCCTTTTGCACATATATCACCACCACAGGCTGTCCCGCATTGGCATGGCCTACAGCTCCTCTCTGAAGCCCTCAGGGACATGAACTGCTCAGGGGCCAACCAATACCAGATGACTGCCCCTCTGACTCTATAATCAGAAGTCCAAAGGCTCATGCCAGGCCCTGTCCCCGAGC